TGTCTCCCCCTAGCTGTGGGTTGTGGGGGGACAGGAGCCCAGGCTGCCCCAATGGTTGGGCATCCCCAGGCCCGAAACAGGCCCAGACCCTACTTGGACATGTCAAAGACGGGAGCCCAGAGGGGCAACCAGCCTTGGTTGGTTCCCACAGACCAAGCAGCAGCAGGCCTCCCTTGCGCTACCGGCTACCGGTGTCCTACGCAGGTGAGCTGGGCCTCCCTCCACACCTCCCCCGCCCTCCCCTCCCCTCCCCCCTGCAAGACCTGGGAGCCACAGCAAGGGAGCCTGTGGACCACGTGAGGAGGCAGCACGGTCCCAGGTGCACACCTCGGCACCACACTGTGTTCTCGGTCCCCCCCCCCCCCCCCCCCCCCCCCCCCAGGATGCAGTTCCACTCAGGAGATCCTAGGGGGTCAAAGCCACAGGGACAGGAAGCAGAAGGTGGGTGCTGGGGAGCAGCGTATAAGGGTTTGTGTTTGGGAAGATAGAAGGTTCTGTGGATGGAGGTCAGTGGTGGTGGCACAACGGTGTGCCTACGCTATTGCCACGGGCCTGTCTACCTAAAACTGGTTAAAATGGTAAATTTCACATGATGTGTCTTTCACCCGATTAAAAGAAAAGCACAGCGGCCTGTTGAGCCAGGGGTGGGAAGCAGGGTGCGGGGGACAGAAAGCTCTGGCGTAAATCAGAGGCCCCGGAGGAAGAGGGACAAAACGGCCCAGGCTCAGCAGGCGGCAGGTGAGCGCCACCAGCAGACCGCTTCCGGAAACCTTAAGGGTCCCTTTAAAGCTGCCCCCGTCCGTCCTCCTCCCTCCTTCCCCGAAGGAAGAACCATGACTAAGTAAGCAATGCCGAGTATGATTCAACTTACAAAAATACGTGAAATGAAGAGAGACGACGCTTTAAATAAAGGGTATGTGAACAGAAACACATTTATTACAAAAAAACAAAAACCAAAAAAAAAAAAACCAAAACACAAAAAAACATTCACATTGTATTGAGCTACAATATGGCAGCAGATAAAAAAAATTATTGTACACAGTTTAAGAGAAACTCCTAACAGAACATACTCTTGTTGCCACGTGACAGAACACAGGAATCCAAGCGCTTAGTAGCGGCGAGTGAAGCGGGTGTCGTTGGGGCGGCTCCCCCGGTTCTGGCCTCCGAATCCACCCTGCATTCCGCCGCGTGGGATCACGTGGCCCCGCGAGGCCCCGCCTGGGGCGAAGCTGCCGCGCCTACGACACGACACACACACGGTTCCCATGTCGTTCCCGGGACCGAGGGGCCCACCCTACACGCCCCCGTGTTCCGGGAGCAGCGCCTCCAGCGGGCAGAGGGAGGAGGTCGGTGGGGCGCCTCCCGGACCATCTGCGTGGCCACCGTGCAGAGGGGAGAGGGCTGAGCTGGACGGGCGGCACGACACCTTACCCTGACATCCCTCCCCGGTTCATCATGTGACCTGGCCCAGAGTGCCCGGACATACTCCTTTCGCCACCTGCGAGACGAGAGAGGCCGGTCACACGGTGCCTCTGCGCAGCACGGAGCGCACGTGCAGCGCAGAGGACTCCGACGCGGGGCTCCCGTGACTCCAGTACCCTTCCTGAGCCACCCAGTGGACCCAGACCCCGCGGATGCACACGCCGGCCGTCCTCGCCGAGCGGCGGCAGAGAGGAGCCACCTGTGCCCGCATCGCTCTTCCCGTGCCAGACGGCTTCTGTCCATTCCCCCTCCCTCCCCACATCCAGCCAGTAATGAGCGGGACCCCAGGAGGAACAGCAGAGGAAGCCGTTCCCGCCCTCGAGAAGCAGGGAGACGAGCAAAGACGGGCGTAAAGCAGGTGGAGCCTGAGCCTTCCAGGTGCTCCCCCACGAAGACAGACACGTCCCCGGCTGAGAGCCAGTCCTCACCTTGCCACCTCTTGTGGTCCCTGTCTACCATGCCTCCGTCAGCAGCACCCTGCCACGCACGGTCATCCTCTATTCTTCGGCCGTGGTCCCCCCAGTCACGTCTGCCCCTTAGGAAAAGACGCCTCTGATTTGGACTGCCCCCTCTGCGCCTTGCAGAATAGCAGGCGCCACGGGTTCCGGAACGTGGGTTTCGCGTTCTGTGTTCCCGGTCCCCATCCTCTCTCCCTGAGCCAGGGCTCCTCAGGAACACACACCGATCCTGCCAGGGGCGTGTGAGGCCCCTGCAGGTGCTGTGGGGGGTGGGACACAAACCTGGGTGGAGGAGGCAGCCCCCGGCCCTCGCTCATCCTCTTGTCAGAGCCGTATCCCCAGCCGTCCCGGGAGTCCCGCCCATGGCGCTCTGGTCCTCCGTGGCGTTCAGGGTAATGCTGGACGTGAAAGAGCCAGAACAGAAAGAAGGCTTCGGTATCAAGCTTGGATCCCAAGGCCTTGGGGCCAACAAGCTGATAATGACGACGACAGTGACAGTAACTCAGAAGCACTGGCGAGCATTCTACACACGGTCGTGTGCCACAGAGGCCATTTCGGCTTGCTCAACAGCCACATCCTCGAAGTCTGCTCACGGACAAGTGAGGAAAACTGAAGAATGTAAACAACGGAGAAAGAAACCGAGGGATGAGATCCACCCTAATCCAAAAGGAGAGACTTCAGGCACCGAAGGAGAGAAGGCGCTGGGGCCTAGTGGCCACCCTGTGCCAGGAACAGACAGACAAGCAGTGCACCCGGGCCCGGTGCTCTAGCCCCTAGGAACCTCCAGAACCAAACGACCACTAGGGATCCTTTCACACTCACCCCAGACCTGGCGCCTCACCGGACCGACCACCAGCCACTCTGTGGCGTGGTCTGTGGAACCTGCTGGCCTGGCCCTGCTCTACGCGCCATCGGAAGGACGGAAGAGAGAGCCCTTCTAGGAATGGCTGTTTCTCGTTCTAGGAAATGCTGTTCTCAACAAACGCTCACCACTGGCCCTTCACCCGAAGCCTGCCCTGCTTGCCGGAAGGACGCCCCAAGCTTTAGGGAGCTGGTGAGGCGGCTTTGGCTCCATTGTTGCTCTCATGATCCCACAAACCCAATCTGTAGCCCTGTGGTCTTTTGCTCCAAGATCACATTCTAAGCGAGAAAGCCTAGAAAGGAGTCCTGGTAACGAAGCCTCTTGGATGGATGCTCCGGCTGCCCTGTGGCTGCACGCGTCCGCGCTTCTGCGCCTGCTAAGCCAGGAGCTCGCCAGGGCCGGGGCCGGGGCCGGGGCCGGGGCCAGCCTGTCACACGGGAGCCCTGGCCACGTGTGCTTCCGCCTCCTGCCTCCACGGGCCTCGCGTTCCCAAATGTGTGCGGACACCTCCCTCAACCAAAGTGGGGGAGGTGGGGCTCAACTGTACCAGATAGACAAACACAGCACTGTTCCTTCCAGGCACAAAGCTAAAGCCAAAGCCAAAGTGTCCGGGCAGGACAACAGCTGCTTAAATGAGACCCCGAAGCCCCACTTCCATAAGGAACCTGCAGGACACACCAGCTTGTAAAAAAACAAAACAACAACAAAAAAACAACAGCTCACGATTCAGACCACTTCCTTTCGACAAACGCAAATATTTCCGAACAAGCAAGCTTTTCTCGGCAGCCTTCCGAAGACACCGAACCGACAGAGAACACTTTGCACAAAGCCGATCTCTAGCTCTGCCCGGTTTTTCACAGGGTAGCCACACTCTCCTGCCCACCGACCAGCTGGTGTAACGGCTCAGCAAGACCCTGAGAGCCTGTGTTCGTGTCCCCTTCTGTGTCCCATGTCCCTGCCTGCATCCAGGGCAGCACCAGGGTTACTAAGGACAGCACACACAAGAGAAAACATCCTTTCAGGTTTGGGAGCGCTTCAGCCCATAGCAGCAGGAGAGAGCAGGCAGGGATTAGCAGCTGCGTGTCAGGAGCCGGGCCAACCGGTGTAGACATGGCTGTCAACCCATTTAGCCCCCACACCCTGAGCAGGGGGGAGTGAGCGCCCTCACTTCAGAGCTGGGAGACACGTGCTCAGCACAGTGCTGACACCAGAATGCGACTCTGGTTCTGGTTCCGGAGCCTGGACATCTAACCACCGAGCCCCACTTCCCCAAAGAGAACCGCCAAGAGCGGGTGTAGATTCAGTTGCCCTTCAGATTCACCTCCAAGAAGAGGAAAAAGAGGCACACGACGACCGCTCCGGAGGTAGCAGGGGACCCGCTGGGTACGGCCAGGACTACGCAGTCCCCAGCCACGCCCTCAGGAAGCGAGGAAGGAGGGCAGACAGAGCCGCGCTCCAGCAGGGAAAGGAAACTCACGGGCAGCAATTGTGCCCCCACGCCGCCCTGACCACAACCTTCCGGAATTCCTCCCCGCACCCCCCGATATTCCAAGTAAACCCACTAAAGAGCGCGACGTGGAGAAGTTCTTAATCTAAACATTTGACAAGTAAAAGAAGAAACTCCAGCATATTTTTTAACATGTGAGTCCTGCAAAGCACGAGCCCCTGGCCTCTCATGGGCTGAGCTGTGCAGACGGTGACAGTGGAGCCCTTCAGACTCACCCAAGGCTCCTTAGACATTGATACAGATACGGCATTTAGCTACTTCGCCATTCAGAAGTGAACGAACCTCAGCTGAGGAGGGAGACAGCACAGAGAGAGAATCGATTCCACGGCAAAAACCGTGGCTGCAACTCAAGTTTCTGACTCACCTGTCCTTCTCTTTCTCCCATCATGGATCTTGAACCTTCCCTCCTGAAAAAGGAAATTTAAATGAAAACATAAGAAGAGAAGGTAGGTCGGCTAGACACCCCCTCCCCCAATAGAAAACATTTCCCAAACCGAACCCAAGTTATTCGTAGCCTGAAGGTCTCAAAGCCTAGAAAGGCCAACCCTACCTAGTCCTTCATCATTCAGAACGAGAGGAAAAGAGAACTTGTACAAATGGGCAGGGTCATTGGGAGCCTGGCTGACCTGTCGACAGAGTGGTCAGGGTAGCGGCCCCGGTCCCTGTGGTCAAAGTCATGGAAACGGTCCTGGCGGTTGAAATCAGAATGGTAGCGCTCATCCAGAGCGGCCCGCTTTGCTTCCGGCCAGTAGGCATCGTCTCGCCTGGAGGGGGAATAAAGAAGTGATATAATTTCTCCTTCAAGTTCATAACCTTTGCCGAGCTGGTGAACTGAACCCTCAAACTGTCCCTGGCTCCTGTCATTCCACAGAATGAGAATTAACTTTTTCGTCTTTGCTACACAAGCTGAGAGCGGCCAGCAGGGTGATGTGGGATCCGACTGAAGGACCCCCTTCTATTCTATCCAACAAGCCTCACTTGACCCTAAAGAGAACAGCCTTGGTTTCCCTAACAGGAGGGGACGTGGGCACACCTGCACACCCACAGGTCGCCTCCGGGAAGAGCACACGGCCTCAATCTATCAGGACAGCAAGCGAGAGTCGTGACCCCCCCAGCTCTCCTCAGCGCACTACCTCTTTTGCTCCAACGTGGACTTAACCCAGCAAAGACACCAGTGGGGGGACGTTGAGAGGCACCTGAAATATACTGTTTCAAAAACATGCATGACCGTAACGGACTCCCAGCAGCGGTGTTTTGCCCAAAGGCATCAAAAATCCTAAAAGAGCTCGAAGGCCCTCGAAAGAAGTCTTGCTGGATATTACACGCAATCCACGCAATATCCACACAATAGAGGGAGGAATACAAAACGTGGTTCTTCCCGAGTGGCGATGCGTGCAGAAAAGCTGGTCATATCAGTGCTGGGATTACCACCCTGGACTCCCACCAGCAAGGACTGAAATCGGGCCCGTTTTTCACTGGGGCTAGCGTTGGAGTATGCCCAAGTCATGTCGGTATGTCCAGGGAATTAAAGTTAATATCACTGGAAACGAGCCACAATACATGGCTACAATGACAAAGCCTACACGGAGGCCTGAAGGAAGTTTCTTCCGGTCGCGGGTCACCCCCCTCGGCACTTGACTCGCATGTAGCCCCGGGCTGAAGAACTCCCTTCCCTTGGGGGTTCTGTGCTAGGACTTGAACGTGAGGCTTTCTTAGGCGCCGCTCTACCCATTTCCCCACTGACCCCTAACAATCTCAGGTGCCCGACGAACAGGACGTCAAATCGAGCTGTAGCCCGTACGCATGCGGCCTCTGAAACGAGAATCTCGCGGAAGCGCGACGTGGGGGACCCTCACCCGATCCTAAAGGCCACAGGCCGCCTCCGGGGTGGCGGCTAAGGGCAGCTAGGCTCACCGGCCGTCCACGTCGTAGGGCCTCCGCACCGCGGGCCGCCGCTCCTGCTCGTAGCGCAGCTCCTGCTGGCGCCGCAGCTCCTCGCGCTCGCGGTGGATGCGCTCCTGCTCCCGCCGGCGCTCGTGCTCCACGTGCATGCGCTCGCGCTCCAGCCGCTCCCGCTCCATGCGCTCGCGCTCCAGGCGGTGGCGGTGGAAGGCCAGCCTCTCGCGGGCGATCTCCAGCCGCTCGCGCTCCTCCCGCTCCCACTGCGCCTGCATGCGCTGCTCCCACTCGCTGCGCTCGCGCACCCTGCGGGAGAGCAGCTGCTGGAGGGGCCGCGGTGCCGGTGGCATCACCCGGCCAGGCGAGCGGCCGGGACACGGGAGCCACGGCTCCCGCCCGCCCGGAGCGCGGACCGGCCCCGGGAGCTGCAGAAACGCGGCCCCGGGGCCGCGCCTTCCAGACCGGCCAGGGTGTCGGTGCGGCGGCAGCCCCGGGGTGCCCCCCAGTTCGGCCCCCGATCGGCGGGAATCAGAGCAGAGAGGCACGGGCGCATAGGGGCTCCTCTAGGATAGGAGCTGAACCTCACTTCCCGAAACCTTTTCTGCAGATCAACATCTGATTCCATGAAACAGTCCATTAAAAATAAGAAACAGAACACACTTGCCACAGGAAATTAAGTCTCGGTCAGGACCTCCCGTCCCTAAATGAGCTTCAGTCACCCCGGGATGGGGCGAGTGCACTAGAATTGAAATCCTGACGATGTTTGTAAACTCAGATGAGTTTACCAACAGGCAGCCCGTGGTGGCCGAGCGAAGGGCCGGGGAGCCCGCGCAGCCCGAGGGCGCGGCCAGCTCTGCTCTTGTTAGGGACACCAGCTACACCCCAGCGCATTTCCTGCCAGTCCCTGTACGTGTGACACGGAAGACAGTGGCCACATTGTCCCCTTTCCACCCGTTGCTACGCCTTTACAGACACCTACTTATACCGGCAGAAACACATACTCTTGCCTCACTGCCGGGTTTTGGACAAGAATGGCTACAGCCTCCTTGATTAATGCGACACGTCCAGGCCCCTCCCACATCCGCCTTTACAGGTCGAGGGCAAGGGTTCAGGAAGGGCCCCGTGGAGCGGACAGGCCACGGTTTATACAAGCAGCACCCAGAGGCAGACCTTTTGATGGTCTCCTAACTTTCACAACCTCACACAATCGGAGGCTTTCTCATGCACAAGTTCCTCTAGGGCAGGTCTGGAGAAGTGGCACTTCTAGGTCTGGGGCACTAGACTCAGCCGCGCGGGCCACCGCGGAATCCCTCTCCAGAGGCTGCGCCCCGGTCCCCCACACTGGAATGCACACAGTGCACCCAACCAAACCGGCAGAAGCAAAAACTGGTCTCACTGCTCTTTTCACGCGCGCTCCCGGTGCCCAGTGAAGCCTCCCTTCGTCCTGAGTCCTGCGGCACCTGACCCGTCCCTTCTGTCGACTCGCTCCTGTCCGTTTCCTAGCAGGTTTTTTTTTGCCTCCTTACATTTCCTTCACATCACGTTTATTCCCATCCCTCGTGGATCTTTCACGTACAGACAGAAGTTACATTTTCTCTCGGTCAACCTCTCCTTCCGGCCCCCAACTCTTGAACGCACCAACTTCCGCTGTATACGGGCGTTGTCAGCTTTCGTGTTTGTGTTCTGTCACCAGCTGACGGGGACTGTTTTGTCACTGATGGGAGTCGCAGACCCAGAGGGCCGACCAAAGGAATAGCCAAGTGACTTGAAGCTATTAAAGGATGGGAGAGCCCATCCTTTTGTCCCTGGAGAGAAACGTCACTACTGACATAGGAAGTCCCCACATGCGCACGGGTCAGCTCTGTGGCCCTACGTCACTTCAACACAAGGGCCCTTTGTCCAGCGCTCGTCCCTGTGCAGCAGGAAGCTGTGAGTGTCCGCACACCACAAAGGCCGTGCCTCGCCCCCTCTACTCATTCTTACTCTGCCAGTTTTACCAGCGCTGTTTATTTTTTCAACTATAGTTTAAGAATTGTTTCTTTGTCAAAAACTGTCATACAGTGTGTTCAGTACTGCTTGTATTTAGTTTTTAAAATTTCTGGAGACTTTTTCTTTAGCTATTTTAAGGATGGGGACATCTCTGCTCTCTCCCTGCGTGTGTCCCACTGTTTCTCTCCCTTCCGACCGCTCTGGGGGCACGCCGGGTGTGTGAACCAGCACTGCTAGGCATTTCAAGTCCCTGCCGTTACCTCCCAGAATCATCAAGAGATGGGCCTATCTGCATGAGAAGATCATTTGAAAATAACCACAGGATGGAAGAGCACAGCAAGTCTATTGAAGGCCAAAGGAGCAACAGGGTTTAAAGCAATATCCCACCCACAGGGGGCTCTGAAAACATGCCCCCATGACATGGTCTGACTAGTCCAGAGACAGAAGCAAACCAGGAACACTGCTGGACACGGACTCACCTCCGGGACTCAGAGTCTCTCGACTTCCGAGGCTCTTTGACTTTATCAAAAGACACAACAGACCGCTTCTCTCTGCTGGCCGATTTGCGATCCTGGCTCTTAGAAACCTGGTTCACCAAAAAATATTCACGAGTTAAGGTAGAAATGACAACAGGAAGAATCAGGCGAGTCCACATCCAAGCATCCAACACGAAGATTGGAAATGAACGTTAACATTTAATGGGACAACCAGTTAACAGGGTGTTCCCTCCTAAGAAACTTCATGTTTTCCTGACCATACTTAAAAATCAAAACGTCATCACCATGCCAAAATATCCAACGAGAATTTTCAACAGGGTCAAAATAGAAATATTATCTCCCTAAACTTTTTATATGATGAAAACCAATTCTTAAAAAAATGTATTTGGGGTGCCTGGGTGGCTCAGTCGGTTGAGCGTCCGACTTCGGCTCAGGTCACGATCTCACGGTCCGTGAGTTCGAGCCCCGCGTCGGGCTCTGTGCTGACCGCTCAGAGCCTGGAGCCTGTTTCAGATTCTGTGTCTCCCTCTCTCTCTGACCCTCCCCCGTTCATGCTCTGTCTCTCTCTGTCTCAAAAATAAATAAACGTTAAAAAAAAAAAAAAAAAATTAAAATAAACTCCTTGGAGTGCCTGGGTCGCTCAGTCGGCTGAGCGTCCGACTTCAGCTCAGGTCATGATCTCGTGGTTCATGGGTTGGAGCCCCACGTTGGGCCCTGTGCTGACAGCTTGGAGCCTGGAGCTGCTCCGGATTCTGTGTCTCCCTCTCTCTCTGCCCCTCCCCAGCTTGCACTCGGTTTCTCTCTCTCTCTCTCAAAAATAAATAAAACATTGAAAAAATAACATAACATAAACTAAACTCCTTACTCTCAACTCTTTACTTCTGTTCTTTTCCTTCCTAATTAAACATGCAGTGAGTGCCCAACCATGGCTACCTCTAGTATAGCTGCGGATTCCTGATTTGCGTGACTGCGTTATCTTTACGAGACCTACCCATCTTAGCCCTGGAACTCATACTTCCATTTTGCCATTTTCCACTCATTTTACATAAAATAACTGTAAAAGAGCTCACGTGTACTATAACACGTGCACAAACATAAGCACGCTGAAGTCTGCAGGACCGGAACACTGGCTTGCAATAGCCAAAACGATTTGCCATCTCACAGCACAGGGTAACATGGCAGGCCCGAGGCTGGCGCCTGGGAACCTGGCGTTCAGAGTGTCTCCAGGTGATGGTCCCAGGGTGGTCACTGTGCCTAGACTGTGCCCACTGTGGTTTCTGCTCAACACCTGCTTTCCTCTTAGAAGTCACGAATTTCGGTATATATCTAGCAGAACGTCTAGGTAACCAGCCCCCAAATAACAACCTTGGGTGCTGACACTAACAGGCTAACGGGCTTCCCTGGGCAAGAGCATAGGCCGCACGAAGGGGAGAGCACGAGGGAGGCTGCACAAGTCCTCTCTGGACTCTGTGTCTTTTCCCCCATGACTGGGCTGTGTATCCTTACTGCACCACTGTAGGTAATCTTAGCTGTGAGGACCATCACAGGCCAAGCCCCGTGGTCCTGAGGGTGAACTGGTGAATGTGGGTGGTCTTGAGGACCCTGGCCCCATATCTATCCAAGTTGCAAGACCCCAAAATTGAAGTTAGGGACACTGCAGCTGCCTAAGCCCTCACAGCAGGCAGAGTGAAACGGTAAGGACCCAAGACAGGTACTTTGTGAATTGTGTTCTCTGGAGCATCTGCGTGGAGAAAGAACACGGGACCGAGCCCAAGTGGAGATCCAACTCAGAAGGGCATGAAACCCCAGCTGGGTTACATAGGAGTTTAGGAATGTGTGATGGAGAGCTGCCACCACCTTCAAGGGAGACCATGAAAATGGCCACCTACATGTGGATTCGGGTGGGGGAAGCCAACTATTCTCATATTTTAATTTTATAAGACAGTGCTCTAACTCTGTCATGGCTTTAGTTCACATTTGAACTTTAAAATTAGCTTTAGGTAATAAGAAAACAAAAATTCTCATCAGAACAAAGTTATGCGCAAACAAAAGCTTTTAAACTCTTTCCGTTTTGGGGGCAACTGGGTGGATCAGTCACCAGAAATCAAGCGTCTGACTCTTGATTTTCACTCAGGTTACGATCTCATGTTTTGCAAGTTCGAGCCCTGTGTCAGGTTCTGTGATGACAGGACGGAGTGTGCTTGTGATTCTCTGTCTCTCCCCTGCTCTCACTCTCTCAAAATAAACTTTAAGAATAAAAAAATAAATAAGTGAAATAAGAGAAACACTAAACACTCTAGTTAGAAAATTGATACTCACTCTCTCTTTGGATCCTGAAGTCTTGACACTAATAACAGGCACCCCTTTAGATTTATCCATCACTACGGTCCGCTCGGTTCCTCGACTTCCTACAGAAGAAAGGAGTTGTGTAATGGAAGAAACAGAAAACTCCCAGATTAGACAAAAAGGATTTCTCTCTATGGAAAAGAAATCTAGTATGCACTGCTGACAGCAAACCGTAAACCACACCAGCCGGGAACAGAGCACAGGGCGACATCACCAGTGACAGCACCTGATTTTGTGGTTCGAGATCGCTCGGAGGGGCCAGGTTTCTGATCATCTTGATCTTTACTCTTTTCTCCGCTTACGTCTTCACCCTTCTTAGTGTCCTCTTTTCTATCAGCTTTATCTTCCCTCTTGAGGTTCGCAGATCTACAAATGACATCCCAGAACAGACGCACGTTACGTCCAACATTTAGGCAGCGAAGCAGCCACGACGAGACTCTTGCAGTGAGCGCCATGTGACCAGGAGCCTGCTCTCCCCAAGCACCCTTGGAAGAGGGGCTGAAGGAAGGAATGCTCTCAGGGAGCTACTTGAACCCCCTCCACCAAACGTTAGTATAAACTAAAGGAGGGGGAGGCCTTGCGGTCTCCCTGTCCGTGGAAAACGTGCAGGATGCGAAACATAGAAAGGCCATCTTGTCCACAGTTCCCTCAGAGAAGAGCGATACCTGTCACTGGTGCTGGACTTCTCCTTCTTCCCCTCACCCTCTCTCTTCTCAGAAGTTTTCTTCCCAGTTGGTTCATTTTTCGCCTGAAAAAAAGAATCAAGTGCAAGTATTACCTTATTTCCTCAAAGGGTCACATCCCGGTAAGAAAACCACCACTTACTTTTTCCACAGAGATCATCTTCCCGTGGAGCTCTGTTTTGTGCAGGTGGTTAATGCATTTTGTGGCCTCTTCTGCTGTGGACATTGTAACAAAGCCATAGCAGCGAGCTCCAGGACTCCGGGCATTTGTCACAACCTTAGCGCCCACCACCTCAAAGGAAAGCACACAAACGGGACTCAGACACAAAGCCCCCACTCACAGACCCCCAACAACCGTTGCGTGAAACGCACAGGACATCCCCGTTCACGCTGCTTTCTTCTGATGCATGAGTCCCGGCACCTGCCCTGGAATGAGGACTGTGGGCGACGCCCCGTCACCCAGTGCCTGACAAGTGGCACATGACAACTAGGGAGGATGACGCTACTGCCTCACTGGGACGACTCTGCGGATCTGCCCCACTTCCGGCCGTTCCCTCTGGGGATCAGACCTCAGCCGTCATTCCGTTAGCCGTGTGGGCAGTGAAGCAGGAAGACAGATGTGCACGTGGAGACTGATGTAAGGACGCTAAACCCATCTTATTCCGAGCGATGACAAAATTCGGTAGGAGAGGTTTCTGGCACCAGAGGCACATCTTTGCACACTACTTACTTCTCCCAGTGACCCTGGCAAGTTAAGGTTAGGCACTCTGGCTCAGGGGAGGTCCCACATAAGCCAGTATTCACCCTCATTATGCCACACGGACACTCAGACCCAAGAGAGTTTCCGAGCGGGCTGTCCCTACTCAAGGACATTAAGCTGAGAACGAACCCAAGACACTGCAGGCTCCAAGGTGACATGTCCCTGCTGAGAGTACCCATCTGGGCCACAGGGGAATCGTGAAAGAGGCCCAGCACGCATTGCCGAGGCCCAGGGAATCATTAGTTATTTCTACAACCCCATCATATTTAATTTCACTCTTTTTGGTTCCCAGACATCGATAACCAAAGCAAATACTATTGGTTTTCTCCGCTATAAATTGTTGAATCCTTACTATAAACAGAGGCCTGTGCTTAAGTCTCACTTTGGCTTGCCCCAAAAGCTACCTCTGAGAAAATGAACCCTGGATGCAGCAGTTTATTTAGGAGGTGAATCTAGAAAGCACATGGGGAGGTGGTGAAAAAGAGAAGGGAAGAGAGCTAACGCAGGTACTCTAAATCAAACACGGAACCGCAGCCGGCCTGGAGGGGTGGGGGAGGCGGGTGCCTCTATCCATCATGGCCACCGCTCTTGGGCTGAGCGAGGAGGGGAATCAGGCAGAGGAGAAGTGGCCCGGCTGTGGGTGAAAGCAGGCGGGCTGAGGGACACGGGCCGGGCCACCAACAGCTCTGCAACAGCTACACACGCCATCCGAAGGAGCCAGCACCTCTGAGGGCCCTCAAGCAGATGGGAGCTCACACAGGGGAAATGACGTGCTCCCGGCCACTCGACTGTGAGCAGCAGAGCTGGGCCCACAGCTGCCCAGACCAGTCTGACCCTAAAGGCCCTGTTTACAACCCCTTTCTACAGCCTCCCTCCAGTTCCACAGTGACCACCATCTCGCAGAAGTGCTGACAGCACCTCCCCGCCCTGCCCTTTGCCACCACTGCTGAAGTTGAAGACTCAACACCACAGAAACAGATTTAGAAAATCCTCTAAAATTTACGTGGTGGCTTTGGGGCCCGGGAAAAGGGAGAAACAATACGGAGCAGGCGTGGGCTCTGGGAGCTTCCACCTCTCTCACCGCGAGCAGTGGAGGGACAGACCCGCCACAGGCTGTGAGCAAACATGAGCCAAAGAACGGCACGGCGTCGTTCAAAGCAGTCCCCGAGAGGGGACAATCATCTGCATGTAAAGGCCGTACTACATTGGCTTAAAAACATTTTCTCTCCTCGATGACCCCTTGGTCTTACCTTCCCATATTTGCTGAAAAGATTCTTCAAATCTGTGGCTCTGGTGGTAGAAGAGAGTCCGCTAACCCAGAAATTTCTACCACAACTGCTACGACCTATTTCAAAAGAAAAGTCTGGTCAAAACCACCACACTCACGAGATCCTGAGTCTTAAAGACTAAAGTCATTCCAAACCAGACACTTCCCCACTTCTCCCAGATGCCAGCACAACCCAAGCCGGCTAAGACAGGAGGGCCTGCCGCGTCCTCACACAACGCTGGGAAACGCACACCAGGTCTACCAGGGTGGTGAGCAAAGCCAGTTTAACAGCAGTGAACCAGGGGCTATCAGGAACGTGGGAGGTTGGTTCACATAGAAAGTCGCCAAATGGCACTAGGCAGCCCGGTGGAGTGGCTTCTGCCCATAGAACAGCTGCTATCAGGATGAACCCAATCCAGATGCTTCTCCTTCTTGTCATATATACCTTCCCACCTATGCCTCATCTGGATTTCTTCTTCTAGACTGCTAAGAAGGAATCCGAACCAACAAAACGTCGTCTCCATTAGCGATTTTAATAGAGAGCGAAGCTGTTGATCAACCTGAGGTACCAGATAACCCCACGATAGCTGAAATCAGTACATTTATTCCCATTTACAAGTATCACTGAGGCTAAGGAAGTCTGCAAATCAGAGGGCCAGTCAGGATCGATGAGCTCAAAGTGCTCCCTCGAAAACAAGTGTCTGCTTCCGATCGACAGGTTAACTCTGAGGACCTGGCCTGCCCTCTATAACCCAGAACCTGCAGATGAGTAGCAGAGGAGGGGAGAAAGGCTTCATGAGAGGCCCCAAAGCACATCTGGGAAAGAAACACCATATGCAACGAACCGGAAGCAGATACCCCACTGCTGCCAAGGCCCAACATGCTCCAGGAGACTGGGGTCGCCCCGGTGACCTACCCTTTTCCTCTTTGGAAAGCCTTTTTGTATCCGAGTCATCTTCGACAGAACTAGAGACAAAAGATAATGTCACTCCAGAAGGAAGCAGCAGAGAGGAAACAAACTCAAAATTATAAAACACGTGCTGAGGTTGCATACCTACCCGAAATTTAGTTCTGAAAAAATGATACCCCGACAAACTTGTATTGGAAATCTGACCTAACCATAAGATTTCAGACCCATAGGAGTTAATTAATTCTGCTGGGCTAAAGATAATTAGGAAGAATTAAAGAAAACAACCATGATAGGTTGAGAAAAGAAAAAAGATTATGTAATCAGTTTAAAATAAAGAGAAATAAAACATCGTTTAGAAGTAAACTACAATTGCATCAGTCTGGCTGGCCAATTGCAGAAAAAACAGCTTATGTGTGTCATTAAATGACCAATGAAAAGGAGATAGCGTCTGGTCTAAAACTGAGAAAAAACAAACCTCATTTTCTGATCA